TTCTTCCTTGTACTTTTCAAGCCATGCGCAGCTAGCTGACAGTAGACACAGGGTTTTGCCTACAGCAGGAAAAAAGCTTATCGTAATTCTGCGTGGTCTTCAAACGAATTACGAGTATTATTTTAAAAAGCATTTTATAAGTTTTGGATAACAAAAAACATTGCTTCATGACAGCCAAGCGTTGTGAGACAAAGTTTCTAAAAATGACCCATACATGGAAATTAAGAGTTATGCGAAAACTCCAAACAGAAGAGAGCGAAGAAACGCTCCGTCGCAACGATAGCAAAAAAAAAAATACAGATACTTGTAAATTCCAAGTAATTTTACGGGCATTAACATCACAAGAGATAAATTTATCAGGTAATTAGTTCAGGATCGACGGGCCTGACAAAGCTGAGCCTCACGGGGATCGTATCTCAACAACATCATTAGCACGGGGCTCCCAATCCAATTCAATTCTTGGTAAATTTGAACTCATGAATCCATTGAAATACGAGCCATAAGAATAAATGTTAAAAAAATTAAAAAAAACGAACCACTGCCCGTTGGGCTTTCGATCAGGGCATTGAGGATGTTTTTGAGGCTCAAAAGAATTTTCGCAATCATCGTTCGTTGCGTCGTGTATGGCTGTATATCTGGCGGTAGTTTCACGAGATATCCACAGATCAGCAGCTCCGTATAGTTGCTTGGTAGCGGTTCCACAGCCACATTTCTCTTTCGACCTCTTCCTGATGCACAAGCAAAATTCTCAGAAAACATATTTCATCAAAATCAACCAATTTCACTGGTATTTTCGAGGTTTCAGTGCCATCAACCGAAACAGCCAGAACTAATGATGTGGAGCTCCAGAGAGGTGCAACAGCCATTCCAAGTCCTTCTATCTCTCTGTTGCTATCAACCGTCCTTTGTGTTACGCACGCGTACACATCTCGGGCAAGCTGTCCACTTCCCTCGTAACACAGCCCGTTACCCTCAAAATGCTGTGTGTAAGCCTTACCATATCGAGGTGTCGTCGTCCTCTCGCTGTCACCACTTCCACCTTCCCCGCTTCGACGCTTCCGACCGCCAGCGGATGCCCGAAATAAAGAGGCCACACCTGACGTCTCGCCCATCCCCTCCAGCACTTCAATACCGTCCCGACAGTACCAAATGCCGCATTGACTGCACAGTGACGAACTGTAGCTCACGACAATTACAAAATCTCG